TTTATATTGAATTTCAACATGTTTCAATCATCATTCATAAGAAAATGAGAGTTCAATTATTATATTATTATCTTCGTGGGATTTTGAATGACGATAAGGGACTAAATTGTAAATACCGATGGTCGAACCGATATTCGGTGAAGATGCCGTAGGAGGACAGAGATGGATGGGTGGGTCGTTTTGCGCGTAAGGGAGCCGCATAATAAATACGCCAAAAAAAAAAAAAAAAAGGTAAAAGTTGAGAGCAAAGGCGTCGGGTGTGAGTCGACAAGCGAGAAGAACTAGTGTTTTTGGAAGAATTTTCATGTCCATCTTGCCCAACCAAGACCAAGGATCCATATCGTCGTCTTCCTCATCAGCTCCCTCTGCGAACCCTAATTCCCAACATGGACACCGCCACCACCTCTTCCTTTCTCAATCTGAATCCAAGTCTTTGTCACCGCCCGCTCTCTCCCGCCAAATGCTCACATTTGGATCCCTTCAGATCTCCGACTCTCAATCTCCCTTCTCTATCTCCTCCAATACTTCAGGTACCTAATTTTCAACTTCAAATTGTTTCTTATTCTTTTCCTTGTTTTTGAGAAAATAAAAACCCTAAAATTTGTTCCTTCACCTCATTAAATTCGAACTATTAGTTTCCTGTATTTACCTCAGCAAATTGGAACTATTAGTTTCATGACGAACTGTCTTTCCTGTCAAGTGTTTGATTTTTGTATATTTCAAATTGAATGTTCATTAAATTATTTATCTGCAGGCCCATCGGTACCAGCTGCAGAAGCTTCTGCTGGATCTTCCGAAGAGGTATATTTGACCTTAAAGTTTTGAACCTTTTGTTTTTGGAAGATTTATTTTTCTTTGTTTTTAACTTTGTCTACTGTCCCATTTTACTGAATGTGGTTTTTCATTGTTTGTTTCCTTCCTCTAGGTGACTAAGTTAGGGATGCCAAGGGGTAAGAAGGCTTCACCTAATAACAACGAGACACTTTCACAGTGTCACTCTGCTGGAGGTGGACAAGGGATTGGATCAGCCCGGTCTAGAGGGAAAAGTTCAGGAACTGTTGGTTCTCGTTCAAGTCAACACACTATCGGGTCTGTTGGTTTTCATGGAAGCTCAACGCATCCAGCAGGAAGGAAAGCCCAGCTGATGAATGGCAACCACTTGTTGAATTTTCATTACGACCCCATATCTCGTCCTCAGCCAAGAACTGCTCCTCCTCCAAGAAGGCATCACAAGAGAAAGCCCTACAACAAAGATTTATTTCTTCAGGCAAACTTCAAATTCGTGGTGTTAGATTCAGGAAACTACTCAGTTGAATCGATGGATCCTGATAAGATGTTAAAATGGGAGGACATCATTTGCGTGAGGTATTCCACCCCTACTTTGGTTCAGTGCCCAATTTGTCTGGAATATCCTCTTTGTTCGCAGATAACATCCTGTGGACATATTTTCTGTTTCCCATGCATTCTGCAATATTTGTTGATGGGGAAGGAAGATCATAAAGGAGACTGCTGGAAAAGATGCCCATTGTGTTTTGTGATGATATCACCAAAGGATTTATACACCCTGTTTGTGGAGAATGTTAAGCAGTATTGTGTTGGTGATACTTTAGAGTTTATGCTTCTTACTCGACAAAAGGATTCATTTACTTTGTCACATAAAAGTACTCAAGAGAAAGATTCCCTAGCAGGTGATGATGAAAGCTATGATCCCTTTTCAAAGTTTACATTTACATCAGATGTAGATCTTTCAGTCAGAAAAGCAATATCAGAGCTAGATGGTTGGTTAGCCAGGGCAGAGTCGGGGCTTGTTGATGACCTAGAGAAGCTTCCATATGTATGTGCTGCAATGGAACAATTAGAACAGAGGAAGAAATATTGGAAGGAGCACCGAGCTAGTGACAGTAATAAATCTTGTAAATGTACTGATCGTAATACTGGAAATGCTAGTAATGGTAACTATGAAGCATCTACACTTGGACATGAAACTCCGTCAAATGAGGTTTATGACCATAATAAGTGTTCGGACAATTCATTAGTCGATAAGTCAGATGATGGGACTTGTTCCGACCAATCTGTGGATGCAGTTGAATCCTTGGAAGGCTGTGAAAATGTTCTATCTTCTTCGTATGATGAAAGCAAGAGTGTCCAAGGGAACTCACGTGGCTCCCAAAGTGAATATGATAAGGACTCGTACAATTTCTACCAGGTGACTGAAAATGAGACATCATATTTCCCCTTTTTTCTTGCCATCATTTCTCTGGTTGTGTTTTGGAAAAGTAATCTCACATTTTACTAATCTGCTGATTTGTATGCATGATAGTTGCAAATATCTCTGTCTTCCTTGCGGGTGGTTTGACTTACTTTGCTCTCTTATATTCATGTATTTCTATATCAGGCAGCTGATGGGCAGCACATCATTATCCATCCATTAAACATGAAATGCCTTCTACACCACTATGGGAGCCATGATATGCTACCGCACAGGTTTGATTGAAATCTTAATGATCATTGTGGTATGCATAGACTATGCAAAATCTATCATAAGGTCCCCCTCCCTCTCCCAGAGATTCATCTATAGGATGCATATTCGTTACAATTGTGCTTATCTGAATTTTAAGTGTGGTATCTGTACCGATGCAGCATTAAAAGGGGGGGTAGGGGCGGGGGCGGGGAGTTCCCTTCTATTATTGTCTAAGGGGTGTTCTTATATTCAACTGAAATGTGAAACTGGGTCTAATTCATTTTTGCAGAATAAGTGGAAGAATTTTGCAATTGGAGACAGTGACTCAGACAGAAGCCATGAGGAGGCGCTACCGCTACTTGAGTCATTTTTCTTTAACGACAATACTCCAGGTACCTTGTTATGGGATGATCCGAGTGAAATCACTCCTTAAGAACATTATTATTGCAGGTTGCGTATAGTATCTAATCGTTTTTTATTCAAATTTTAGTTTTGTGAGATTGATCTGAGTGAGCTATTGTCTCCTGACACCTTGTATCCCTTTATGGAAGACATAAAGAAGCGCGAAAGGCAGAGGATGCAGCTTGCTAGGAAGGTATTATTACTTGTTTTTTTATTATATACTGTATAAACATAACATTAGTCTGCCCATGCTTTAAAATTATATTCTATTCCTATTTATAGGAGCACAAGGAGAAAATGAAGGCTGAATCTGCCATGGCATATCCCATCCCAGTAGTAGCAGGTTATGGACAGTCCTTTCAAGATGGATCCCCCACATTCTCCATGGATGACTTCGAGGGTAATATTTTGCTCCTTGTATATGTTGTATCTTCAGGCACAGGAATTTTTTGTAGATAAATTTAGTATTCAGCTCAAGTAGTAATAGTGGCCTGATTGGGAATAAATTTCTTGTCCAAATCTTTCATACAAATAAGGAGAAACAATTCTGAAGTATGACCTGGCTTCCTAATTCAGATGCCATCAGCATATCTTGCATATTAGATCAGTATATCATCTTTTTTATCTGAAGCCTGCAATGTAAACAAACTTGGTAATTCAGGCATCCTTCATGAAAACTAGGAATATGTGATCGTGATGGGTGCTCTAAGCTTTTGACTTAATTTATCCTTTTTTCTTGAAGTTTGCAGATACATTTATGTTTTATGGTGCTCTTATGTTAAATATGATTTAATGGTTTATTCGTTCATATGGTACCTGCACTCAGCCTTGGGAAGTTCTACAGTGACATCATCAAGCTCTCCAGTTGTTGGGGAAAGGAAGCTGTTTTCAAGTGTTACAAGGCTTGGTTTTGCTGCTGGTCATGATTCTCCCACCTTAAAACTAGAGGGAACCAATTCTCTGAATGACAATGATGCAGCGAGATACTCTCCTGAGACCACTGGTATTGTATAATAATTCACAATATTCGATAGTATGTTGTATCTTTTCTGTGGCTGTTGTTGAAATCCTAACTCTAGAGTTCTGGTTGCTCTAACCTGTACCTATTTTTTTCCTTCTTTTACTTGTGCAGCAGCAGGTACTCAAAGTGTGGGTGTAACGTCATTTGCTAATATAATCTCCAGAGCTAAGCCTGGTGAAAATTTGGATGCGCCCAAGATGAATGATTCGGGAAAGAAGGGAAAGAAACCAAATCGAGTCCTTTTGTCAACAGCTGGTGGTCGGCGCTACTGATAACCTGCCAAAATCTCGTGTGTACTATAATGGTGGTTGTCTTGTATCATATATACCTTCTTTCATTTTTCTTTTTTCGGTAATGTTATCATAAATACCTTGATATGATCTTATGTAGATGGGGTGGTAGATGGTGATGGAAAAACAAGAACCATTATCGAGATTCAGTTTTTTTATATCATCACCCTTCTAAATATTTTTTCATTTTTGCTTTCGTTATTTTCTCGTCTGTATGAATAATTTATAGTAAAAAAGCTACCGAGAGCAGCAAACTGTGCAATAACTTTTCTTTTTTCTTATATCAAGTTGTGCCATGGTTAATTGACAAACAAATAGTGGACCAATAAAAGCCAAAAGATATATAGATTGAAACATGGAAACATGGCAAGAAGCACATGTTACAGGGCGCAGGTGATCGTTTTGTGTAGCCAAGAGAGTGGTGAATTCGTAACAATTTTTTGTTCGTGGGTTGGTTTATATTTGAATCGCCAAAACTTTTTATAGACATTTATAAAATCGTGATTGAATACATCTGAATTTTTTAATTTAATTTTTTTTTTTTAAATCTCATAACTTTTATAAAATTGTGATTGAATATATCTAAAATTTTAAACTTTAAAAAAAAAATTTAAAATCTCAATTGAATACACCCGTGTATCCATCCATACAGAATTTTCCTTCTACTTACCTTTTTCTTTTTTCCCTTTTGTTCTCTGTATAGACGAATGTACAGGAACAGTGATAGTTGGAAATAAAAAATTAAAGATTTCGGGGGAAAAATATACAAAACAAAAAAGGAAAAGGGCAAATTGAAATTGCCTACAACTGTACAATGTTGAAGACGGTGCGTTTTGGTAATACTGAAGAGCGAAGAATCATTTGCTTTGCTTGTCTGGTAATTCAACTGATTGGTTTTCGCAAATTCGAATGGGTGGTTTCAATTTCACAATCGCACGCCAGAGCAGAAGAGCTAGATAGATAGTCTCAGTCTCTGTCTGAGCCTCCGCCTCTGCCTCCACCTCCGCGTGGTAATGAGAACTCACAAAGCAGCGTCGAGTAACAACATCAACAGGCGGCCCACTGTTCTATATCTGGTTTGCGCTGCCGCATTCTTCTCTGTTATCCTTTTCGGCATCCAATCTTCTTTATTCACAGGTCCTCCTACTGATTCCTATATTTTACTTTATTTATTGAACACTATTTTACTCGTAATTCCGCGTCCAGCTTAATCAATTTCTATCGGATTATTCAGGTAATCAGAAATTAGATCTCGAACAACAAGATGTTCGAATTTTATCGGAATTTCAGTCTACTGTAAAGCAATGCGTGGTTAGTTTCATACTTTCCTTTTACGTCAACAGTGTCATAATTTCCCTTCTTGTTTTTTTTTTTTTTCATGGATCTGGCCTCTGTTTTTTATTCATCTCTTTTGTTTTCCTTCTTAGTTGAAGTTTTAAAACCTGCACGATTGTTGCTTACTTAGTGTCGTGGTGGGGAACATTAGCATTGCGCTGTAGTTGTGCTATATTTGTTTGCCTCAGATTGATTTGAGAAATGAAGTGGTGGTTTAAATTTAGGAAACGTAGCATCCACTACTTTTTTTCTTCTTTCCTTTTTCTGTTTTGGTGGGCTTTGGAAGTATATTTGAATCCTTACTAAGCTTAAAATAAATGTAGGCAAACAGAGGGCTCGGTCTCACTGCACATATTATTGACCATTGCAGCTTGACTCTGAAGTTCCCCGAAGGAACTAACAGCACCTGGGTCTGTCTACTTTTACCCCCTCACCAAATTTTTTTATTTATTTTTTATTTCATTTTTGAAGTAGCCTCTGAGTGCTAACTAATTCAGACTTCAATTGCAGTATAATGAGCAGTTTAAAACTTTTGAAGCACTGGAGTACAATTATAATGTTTGTGAGGCAATTTTATTGTGGGAGCAGGTTTGTCTCTATCCTATCTGTGTGATTACCTTTCAAGCCGATTATCTGTACTGATGCTTTTAAGGATGCAGTACCGGAACATGACGACAGTATTGACAAGGGAGTATCTAGATGTTCGACCTAAAGGGTGGGAGGAGTATGCAGCACAAAGGATAGCACAATTGTATGCTCGTGTACACATTTATCTCTTCCAAACCTGTGGTTGATTTCTGACAATGGATTATATAACACAAATGCCTATGATCTCAAGTCCATCTATTTACCCTCTGTTTTTTCGGTTGCAGGGGAGCTGATAAATGCTACAATAGGACACTTTGTGAGGAACACCTTAATTTGATACTTCCAGCAAAGCCACCTTTTCACCCTCGGCAATTCCGTACGTGTGCAGTTGTTGGAAATTCAGGAGATCTTTTGAAGACGAAGTTTGGAAAGGAGATTGATAGTCATGATGCTGTTATAAGGGACAACGAGGCTCCTGTTAATGAGGTAAACTAGCATGTATAAAGACTGCTGTTTCCTATCATTGGCGAATATATGGCTTTATTCTTTCATGAGAGCGATTGATTCTTCTATGGTTCTAATTGGGAAAGACAGGTGTCTCGTATTTTCTTGAATTACTTGTACAGTTACTCAATTACTTATACATATAAAGCTATAAGCGTATAACCCAAGTAACTACTGAGCTCCAGCCTCCAATGGTGGTCTTTCATATCCTAATTTTGAAGTTGTCCGAAATGATTTTGAGCGTATAACTTAATATCCACAACCCCCACCCCCTCTCCTCCCTTTCTCAATACAAAAAAGAAGAAAAGATCTTAAGTATATTTTTAGTTTAAATCCTTCATGCATTTGATGGTCAAGTAATTGATAAAAGTTCTAACTTAGTCTTTGATATGTGTAGAAATATGCCAAGTATGTTGGTCTGAAGAGGGATTTTCGCCTTGTTGTAAGGGGTGCGGCTCGTAACATGGTTGCCATTCTAAATGGGTCTGGTATGTTTCTAATTAATTGTGTCATAATATTTTTTTTTTCATTGTATTTTCATAACAAGAGGATGTGCATTTGCCATTCAATATGCCATAATAGCGAATCTCATCTTCCTTTGCTGTTTTTTAACCCCTTGGAATCATTAGGACATTGGTATAAACTTCTTAGTTGTGCCATTCTTCTTCCAATTTTTGGAAGGAAAAAATAACCTTCTTGAGGGGAGTACATGAAAGTCTGTACTTGACTAATCATGTCAACCATTCTTTTCACCATTATGCTTTTAATGATTTTCTGAGAGATGATGCTAGTTGAAAATTTCCGATTGTTTCAAGAAATAAGAACAAAGTTAACTTTTGTATGTTGTATAAGATAAATCATAAATCTTCATGGGTGTGTTCTCATATTTATAAGTTTCCCTTTCTTGTGCAGCTGATGAGGTACTTATAATCAAAAGTGTTACGCACAAATCCTTTAATGCAATGATCAAGGTGAAGATCACATCTAAGGAGGCCAATATATTTGTTCTTCCTTAGTTGATAGTTAACATGCGCGGTTTCCAGAGACTTGTCTAACATTTTGGATCCTAACATATTGCAGAGAATTACAAATCCAGTTTACCTTTTCCAAGGTATTGTGCTCCGCCGAGGTGCCAAAGGAACTGGAATGAAGTCTGTAGAATTAGCACTTTCTATGTGCGACATTGTTGACATATATGGTTTCACTGTTGATCCTGGATATACTGAATGGTTTGTTTGGTTCTTACTTGATACATTGTTGTTATTTGTTGGTATTATTATTAGCAAGCAGGGAACCTGCTTATATTCCTGCCTTTCCATGTGAATAAGGTTCTCTTTTATTTATGATTCCCTTCCATTTTGGTAAAATAGATATCCTCTTTGATACATATCATCAGCATCAATTCAGGTTTTTGATGTATTGGCATTGTTTGTTGTTGATCTTCGTATAGCTTACTAGCTTATTACTTCCTTGTAGGACACGTTACTTCTCTACACCTAGGAAAGGGCATAATCCACTTCAAGGGAGGGCATACTACCAGCTCCTAGAGTGCCTTGGTGTAAGAATACAAACTTTTCTTTATGAGAATGTATCCAATTCCAATTACAGGCGCATGCCTGAATTCATATTCCTGAATGATTCAACTTTTAGCTTTTCTATATATCAGGTTATCAGAATCCATTCTCCCATGAGATCTAAGAGGAAGCAAGATTGGTCAGATGTGCCAAGTCGAGAAATGATAGGCAGAGCTCATGCAGCAGCCTTGCGATTAAAGAGGAGTCAAGCTGGTCAGGCTGGTGATTTGGGACAGTTTGGTAGTTGTAAGGTGACGGGCAATGTGGACCCTGACAACATTGGGCCTGTCTCAGGATCTCCAGACATGAGTGATGTAAGAAAGAATTCAAATTACAATAAATGGGAAGTCTTGCCTTTCAAGAGTCTGAGGAAGGAAGCACAGGACCACTTTATCGAAATGGAAGGTGCTTCTCTATACAAAATGGATGGCAATAAGTTGGATGACCTAGTATGTGTGAGGCATTCCTTAAAGTCAGAGGTCTAGCTGAGAACTATCTTGTGTTGATTCTTTATGGTCGGTCTTAATCAGACTTTGGTTGGTTAAGAGCAGAGCCAGCCGTGCATTCCCACTTTCTCATTGTCTTGTGGAATTTTCAGTGAGATGGACTTCTTTCACAGCTCCGCTTGTGCACCACTCTAGTTTATCATTTTAATGAATATGCTGGGATCAGTAGCAGTGACATGGGAGGAATCACAGCCTGCCATACGCAGTGGGAAAGACATCATCAGCAATACACTGTTTGAATGCTTATCTATACTCTAGAGATTTTTGGAACTAGAAAGATGTATGGAAACACAGATATGCATGTATGAGGCTTAATTGATGTTTATAATAGATATTCTTTTTAGTACACATTCAGAATCTAACAGAGGCATGTAAACTGATTTGATCTCATTGACATTGTGTATGGGTGGCTGGGCCGGTTTTCTAATGTGTCTCCGGAACATAATTGTAGATGTTGAAACTTCCCCAATCATATTTCTTAATTTTGTTTTTTATACATGCAACAGTATAAACTACTATAGTCTAGAGGGGAAGATATCAATTTGTTTTTTTTTAAAAGACCTATTCTATTGAGAGGCACGATAACATACTAAACTTGCACACATTACATAGATGTTAGGACTCGAATACAGAATCTTTCTTGCGGGAGCAATTTCTCCAAACCACTGCACTAGTGGGTACTGATGAGCACATAAACTATCACATTTATTATCCCTAAATATATTTGTTAGTAATTGATTTTCTTACAATTTTAGTTAATTAGGTTTGTTTTTCACTTTTGCACTTGCTTACATACCCATTACATAATTGATGATGATTTCATTATTTTATCTTAAGGTTGAAGAAGATTATTGGATGCTAGTAGGCAAATGGTGGCAAGATTTATTAAAAAGATTGCAAGATGCACCACCTTGCCAAAGAGAAGAGAAATGCATGTAAGTGCATGATCAAGTGTTCAAGTGGAAGACATATTCAATTCATGCATGGAGTGGATGAAGCAACAAACATGATGGTGGCTTGAAGATGTGGAATCATGAACTATTAAAATTGTGAGTTAAGCAAATGAAATGAAGGATGATGAGAAGAGGTGCAACACTTAACCAAAAGAAAAGATTGAATAACAAAAGCAAGTAGAAGTGGAGCAACAATTGAAGAAAAGAAGAAACAATGAAGAGATGGGTTACGGTTGTGCATTGAAAGATGAAGAATTTGGAGAATGGAGTCATCAACACTATGGAATAAGTAATGGAAGCAAATTGGCAATTGGCTTGATGGCAAGTGGAATACATATTAAATTCATGAATGGAGGGATTTTTAATATAAGTGTGTAATTTTTATTAGTTTGATCCAAACTTAAGCTTTAATGTGATTTTGTAGTTTTTGTTCAAATGGAATTTGTAGTTTTCTTTTTAATTAATTGATGAATGTTTGATAATCTATTTCATGGGTTCAATCATGTTTTTCCCATTGTGTAGTAAAAACTTTCATGCTTTTAAAAGAGAAGAGAATTACTAAAGATTAATAGAATTTTGATGAAGATTATTTTTTGATAGTTTGTTGTCAATGGTACAAGTTATGCTTAGAATACTTCTAAAGGAAATTAAAAAGAGCTTTAATTATTTTGAACAACTACAATGGAAAATATTTTGTGGATCAAATTATTAAGAGTTGCATGCTTATGTTAAAAGTGGAAACCCAATGCCTTAGTGTTTTAATCAATTAAATTTTCTTTAAATCAAATCTTGCATAAATCAACCTCTCAATCACACTTGTTCTTTTTCATCTCTGTTATTTTTTTTACACTGCTTTCTGTGGATACGACACTCGGACTTCCGAGCTACACTACTATACGACACCTCCCTTGGGTTTTGCAAAGTGGTGCGAACAGGTACTTTGTGGAAGATATCAAACTTGAAAAGAAGGGACGGATACATCAGCATTGACCTTATTGGCCTTAACCCACGTCTCCATCATATTCCTTACAACAAGTCACTTGGAACTGCTCTATCGGGTTATATGGTTGTGTCGTTTTGGTTTGCTCAGTAGTAGTTTGTGTTTGAGTATCACTACTACAGACACAATTGGCAAGGCAAGACAATCATCACCAATATATTTCCTCCTTCATTTGTGTTAAAGTTAATAAGGAATCGCATGTTTTGCTCAGCGAAGTCCTTTATGTGGTGTTTTGAGTGTTTTGAACATGCAGTTGCAGCTGCGCGCTTCACCTTCACGATAACGAGACCAGATGGCCCAGACCTCGACGACTTTTTTCCATATGACAGCATTTAGATCAAATGCGCTCCTAAAATTTAGGACTCCAAGAGTTTCTGAACCTCTAAAAGCAAAACCACTCCTCAACCTCAACCTCAACGCCCAAAATTACGTTGACGCCAGTATGATCAAGACGGGCTTCGATCCAAACATATGCCGCTCTAATTTTCTGGTGAAGAACTTTCTAAAAGGAGGTGAATTATCTCAAGCACGTATACTGTTCGACCAAATGCCTCATAAAAACACTGTCTCGACAAACATGATGATTTCCGGTTACGTCAACTCCGGCAATCTTTATGAGGCTAGGGAGTTGCTTGACACCATGCTTGACCGTACAGCGGTAACATGGACGATACTAATAGGTGGGTATTCGCAAGCAAATCAATACCGTGAGGCGTTTAAACTTTACGCCGAGATGCATAGGTGGGGAACTCAGCCGGATTATGTGACTTTTGCAACTCTCTTATCTGGATGCAGTGACATGGAGACCACAAAACAAGTAGTTCAAGTTCATTCTCATATCCTTAAATTGGGATATCATTCCACCCTCATGGTCTGCAATTCCTTGCTTGATTCTTACTGCAAATCCCATCGCCTGGATTTAGCGTGTCGGCTCTTCAAGGAAATGCCCGAGAGAGATAACGTTACATTCAATGCATTGATAACAGGGTACTCAAAAGATGGTTTGAATGAGGAGGCTATTAACCTCTTTGCTCAAATGCAAAATCTTGGTTACAAGCCTTCTGAGTTTACTTTCGCAGCACTACTTTGTGCTGGTATCGGTTTATATGACATAGCCTTTGGGCAGCAGGTTCATGGTTTTGTGGTGAAGACTAATTTTGTTTGGAACGTGTTCGTGGGGAATGCATTGCTAGATTTCTACTCAAAGCATGACTGTTCGGTTGAAGTGAGGAAACTATTTGATGAGATGCCAGAGTTGGATGGTATTTCCTACAATGTAATCATCACATCTTATGTATGGGATGGGCATTTTAAAAAGTCTCTTGATCTTTTCCGTGAATTACAGCTTACCAAATATGACAGGAAGCAATTCCCTTATGCAACCATGTTGAGCATTGCATCAAATACTCTCAACTTAAACATGGGTCGGCAGATCCATTCCCAGGCCATTGTAGCAACAGCTGATTCAGAAATTCAAGTTGGAAATTCCTTGGTGGATATGTATGCCAAATGTGGCAGATTTGAGGAAGCCAAAAGGATATTTGCACGTCTGGCTGACAGAAGTGCAGTTCCATGGACTGCAATCATCTCCGCATATGTTCAGAACGGGTTCCATGAAGAAGCCCTTGAACTGTTCAATGAGATGCGCAGAGCAAATGTTAGTCCTGACCAAGCCACTTTTGCAAGCATCTTAAGAGCCTCTGCCAATTTAGCTTCACTCTCGCTGGGAAAGCAGTTACACTCATCTGTGATCAGATTAGGATTTGCATCCAATGTTTTTGCTGGAAGTGCACTCCTTGATATGTATGCGAAATGTGGGTCCATGAAAGATGCACTTCAAACTTTTCAAGAGATGCCCAAAAGAAATCTGGTCTGTTGGAACGCCCTGATCTCAGCTTATGCACAAAATGGAGATGGTGAAGGCACTCTTAGATCGTTTGAACAGATGGTTCAGTCAGGTTTTGAAGCAGATTCAGTGAGCTTCCTGAGCGTTTTAACTGCTTGTAGCCACTGTGGGCTTGTTGAGGAAGGATTGCAATACTTCAACTCCTTGAACCATAACTGTAAAATCGTCCCAAAGAGAGAACACTACGCATCAATGGTTGATATGTTGTGTCGAAGTGGGAGGTTCAATGAAGCAGAGAAATTGATGGCTCAAATGCCATTTGAACCTGATGAAATTATGTGGTCATCAGTTCTAAACTCATGCAAAATTCATAAGAATCAAGAATTGGCAGAGAGAGCAGCAGACCAACTTTTCAATATGGTGGACCTTAGAGATGCAGCTGCTTATGTGAACATGTCGAATATTTATGCAGCAACAGGTCAATGGAAGAGTGTTGGAAAGGTGAAGAGGGCGATGAGGGACAGAGGAGTCAGGAAAGTTACAGCATATAGTTGGGTGGAAATCAACCACAAAACTCATGTATTTACAGTGAAGGACATGAGCCACCCACAAAGTGGGAAGATTATGAGAAAGATTGATGAGTTGACGAAGGAGATGGAAAGGGAAGGGTACAAGCCGGACACAAGTTGTGCCCTTCACAACGAGGATGAGGAAATAAAAGTGGAGTCTCTTAAATATCACAGCGAACGCTTAGCAATTGTCTTTGCATTGATCAGTACACCGGAAGGATCACCGATAGTGGTGATGAAGAACTTGCGAGCTTGCACAGACTGCCATGCTGCAATCAAGGTGATGACAAAGATTGTTGGGAGGGAAATAACAGTTAGAGACTCAAGCAGGTTCCATCATTTTAAAGATGGGCTTTGCTCCTGTGGGGACTTTTGGTGACAATTTTTATTCATCAAATGTGATATATCATCAGACAGGCTGGACTTTAACCTTTTTATATGCTCCACTCAGGTTTTCTTAATTTATTTCAATAAATAAAAGGTTATGGGTTTAGAGGCGATGGGTAATTTGCAATAACAAAATTTAAAGCTTTTTCCCCATGAACAGGATAGTCAACATTGTACCTTCTGAATCTTTCAGACGACAGTACTCTTTGAATGATTTAGAAGTTAGCTTTCATTAGTCAGCACCACGTTTAAGCAATGCATCATTTGCAAAAGAACTAGCACAATCCTAACCCAGATTTAGTTTTCCAGAAACATAATTCTTGCTGAGTAAACGACTTCCAATACAAGCATTGCATCATTATCCAACAAGATACAATATGGGCGAAAATGCCACATCTTCAATTCTAATCTGACAGCCGAAGGGGCAGAGATTTCCCCAACAAAGGTAAAACTAATTACTAAAGTTGAAAATTTCTATGTTACGTACGCTAACAAATAAACCACCACAATAACCGTTAAAGAATTGAATCTCCTTCAATGTTCCTCCCATACTCAGACAGAACCATTCTCGGATCCACACTCTACTTCAAAGGGATCGTTCTCAAAGAAGGCCTGGTGCAGAGCCCTAACGCACCGCTCGGCTTCATTGTCGTTTACAACCAACGAGATATTAACCTGGCCAGTGGTGATACATAAACAGTGAGTATCATCATATTTATAAACATTTCATAGTAAGCCATCTGTAAGCATCCAGTTCATTCATGAGCCTAGTAGAATAATAACCGGGATTCAGAAGAAAGTGAGAAAATCCCAGATATAAACACAAAATATTTACTAAGGCGTCAAGATTTGGCTGAGTTTTTTTCCACCACTAAAATGAAAAGACACAGAACTAGTGGTAGGAGAGACCTTGGATGCACCCTGAGAGATCATCTGAACATTGACTCCATTAGTTCGAAGAACCTGAAATGCCTGCAACATACGACCAAAAATATGAATACCACAAACAAATATACGTGAACAAAGAGACAACTAAAGATGGCTGAAGCCTGCATGGCAGTCCTACCAAAGCTGATCAACCATCTGTTTGAACACCAGAACAATTGCAATCAACCAAAGAACAAAAGCAAAATAGGGAGCGTTTTTTAAGTACTTAGCAAAACACAATACAGCACCTTTTCTAGTATCAGTGATGACCTCTGCACATTTCCAATGAGAGATATAATTGATCTGTGCTGAAGAAGATTGACAACAGCAATTTTCTCAAGTTCTTCCACGACATGGTCAAGTTCCTGCAAGGAAGATGCACTATTTCAATGAGATTTTAAACAAGAATTACAAGAGGAAATTGACTACTCAACCATCAACATTACAAGATATAGTGTGCTCGTGACTAACTACAACTTCCACATTACCGACAAGGATGACACACATAAGATGAGTACATCATAATAATAAATCTTAGGTGCATGTAAACAAAGAAACTCCAGAAAAACATAATCGGTCGAAGATGAAATCATACGCTTGCCTGCTGAATAAGCTCTCTGCTCCAAAGCTTTGAGGGGTCCAACGTCAAGGAAATACTAACTTCACTTGTAGCAACAACATCAACTGATATGCCCAAATCTTCGAAAGTTGAAAATACCTACGTGGAAAATAATATAGAAATTAGCTACTAAGTTACCAAGAGGATAACCAACAGAAAAAAGGTATTTTATTTTCTCACCTTAGCAAGAAAACCATATTGACCAAGCATGCGAGTACTAACAATATCCAACATAGTCACGTTCCGTTTCAAAACAATGCTAGTTAATACAGCCTGCAATTGAGACAAAGAAAACTCATTGCAGTCTGGAGCATTTTATGACAATGGTATTTAGTTTTCCAGCAGAGTACTGTTACGAACCTTGCTCATATCTCTTGCATGGGTGATGACAGTACCTGGAGCATTGGGATTGTATGAATTTTTAACCCTCACAGGAATATCACCCTCTCTAGCTGGTCTCATGGACTGTGGATGCAGGACCTGCAAGAAGAAAATAAAATTTATTAAATCCTGTTTTCTTTCTTTTGTAAAGAATGCAATTCTAACAAAACTACAGGTGGTTTAAGAGCTATTTCACTACTCCAAAGCACCTCAAAATTACCAGAACAGAAAAACTGAGTATTTAAAGTCAGAAGAAACTGGATTGAATAAATTTTTTTCAGAGGAACTTGATCAAATAATTTGTACGTGTCCGGTTCATTGCTTGGATAACTGTTGGCTAACGAGGACCCCTCAGCAGTTTGACTTTGGCCCATCATCAAAGTGAAATGCTGGGGGTTATGACATTACCTTACGAGTAGGAAGCTATAAACTGATGATATGGAGATATTGACAAATATCCATATTGCATGAAATTATGTTGTGAATGATGGAAATTTTTAATAAAATGCCCAAAAAAGGAAATATCGGAAACCATTGCATCCAATATCGCTCACTTGTTAATATGAGACATGTTGAGGACTTTATCAATATCTAACATCAATATGGATACCTGAGCACCAAAATATGCAAGTTCAGCAGCCTCTTCAAATGTCAAATATGGTACAGGTTCTGCACGTGGATATATGTTAGGATCACATGTCAAAACACCATCGACGTCCTTCCACACCTGTAAGGAATTGAAAAATATATATTAAATTTTGTTACTTTAAAAAGAACTAGGAAACCAAGCATAAAAAATTCAACACACCTGAATTTCTCGTAACCCCAGTGCTTTACCAATGGTTGTGGCTGTCAAATCACTGCCACCCCTACCCAGTGTAGTCACAGCACATGATCTCCATCCCTGCAACCAGATAAACAGTGTCAATGGTATTAATAGTTGAATCCTTCCAGGTGGGAAATACATGTAGAACTTAGCCAGAAGAGACACCTTTCCAAGGAAGCCAGTAACAATTGGAATAGCAGGATTGCATATCCAATCACCCTGTAACCTCTTTGCGACAGCTGGATAAGTTGCCTCCAAAATGTCCGCATTTGTGAAGTCATCTGTGGTTATAAATCCGATTTCAAAGGCATCATACTGCCAAAAAAGAAACAAACAATTATATAATTTTGCTATCAGTAAGAATGGTACAAACAATTAAGAGTTCCTCAGATATTACAGTTGGAAAGTTGCAAGCACTTGCCACCATTACATTAAATTTGCCTCATCAACTAGCTATGATGAGACTTTTGGTGGTCTATTATTACAAGCTTATGATGACTTAAAATAAAGAACATGCAAACATTGTTAGTCCTTTTTCATACCCATCATGTGCCAATGCAGATAAAAAGGATCGTATTTCAATGTTGGGCTTACTAAGCTCATATGTTAGCTACAGGAGAACATAAGATGGCAATCACATTAAAGCATACACAAGTAATTGAGGAAGAACATACTTGGCGGGCTTTAACACCAATCTTATTCAAATAAGCAGCAAAGAGCCTTGTGGACATGCATTCCCCAAATGAAACCAAATAGTCTTTTGTCCGTAAAGTCAGTTCTTTCATCATAGCGATTCCCTTCAGAAGTTGTTCTAGTTCTTCCAAGTGTGCTGTAAAACATTTTTCGGATATAACGGAATAGCCATAAAAATCAGTAATATTACAATGAACATTGTACGCACAGGCATCTAACAGAACAACGGCCATAGCTATAGGTAGTGTAAAATTCTGGACTTGCTGATATGCAAAACAATTATATTTTTATTCTTAACGAACAAACGATAAGTGCGGATAAGAAAAAAGAACTCACATGAAATGATAGAGCTGTCCACTCCAAGTTCGTCCACAGTCCTATACAGCATAGGATGATGCACGGTGAGAAGAAATCTTAAATTTGAATATTTTTCCTCCATAATCTGTATAAGAAAGATAAAGCATTTCTTTGTGCTCACCTGAGATGTAATTCTTTTATGAAGCTTAACTCATCAATAGTAGATACATTAGTAACACCGCAACTGACAGCCTTTTCTCCTGCCTACTCAGTGCACAAACAATTTGACCACATGTTGATACTGGTACAAAATGAAAAGTTGGACACATATCGAGTAATAATCATATATAATGCGTACCAGTAGGAGCTTGTTAGTTGTCTTTCCCATGGCAGATAGGACAATGATAGGCCTCTCTTGCGGGAAGCTGAGTATAAGATCAGCAACCTCTCTCATTCTCTCTGCAGAAGCCACCGAGGAGCCACCAAATTTCATAACACACGTCAATTGTTTCTCATTTTCGCCAAGACATTGATTGTCAGTCTGTTTCTTTTCAAGAACATCCGTGATTCCTCCTCCCTCACAGCTGACTCTCAAAACTCTACTTGTACAAGAAAAGTTTTTTGCTCTTGTATAGAATCCGTTGTTGGAAGCTACACAAGTTGCAAAACGGAGTCGTTGAGACCACAAGGGTTGCTTGTATTGCAAAGATCTTTCTGAGGATGCAGATGCAGGGCACAGAGTTTTTACTCCGGAAAAATGCAACGCGGTCGCCATCTAAGATTAGTTATTTCGACGAATGAATGATGTTAACGCAGAGTGTCTTAACTTAATCAGTTGATTGTTTGTTATGGTACCAAAGTTAGAAGCTCAAGTCTGATATGATGGGAGATCCCGACTCAACACAAAACCGATTTTTCAAATCTCCAACTTGAGCGAGCAGCAGCTCGATCTGCAAATTCCATAACTTAATTGAATCATTTCAAAAGTAAACAAACACAAAAACGCCATGAAGCAGATTATTTCACAATTTTACTTCTTTTTGCTTTTCTGAAAGGAGAAGCGGGAGAAGCAGATTGAAGAGTACCTTAAGACGAAATGCAAACGGAATGCAGGCAGGACTTGAGCTTCCTTTCCTTCCCTTTCCGTCGACGGAGAGGCAGAGAGGGCAGCAGAGGCTGTGTGGTGGTCTCTTTTAGATTCAGAGAATCTAGAGCGCCAGCTTTTGCCAAGCTCTCTCTCTCTCTCTCAAGTCTCAAAGGAACAAGAAAGGAAAAACAAACATACACCCACCAAAGAAACCCTGGCGGCGCCTTTTTTCCCTTCCGTTATTATTCCCATATTAATATATAAACCGTGTTGTCGATTGTTCAATGCCCAACGTGTTTCTTGAGTTCCTTTTTTTTTCATTTTCTTTCATTCGTGTTTTATATTTTTACCAACAAGAAAAAGAAAAAAATATTGTCGTCGTTTTCAGAGGAACTGACAAGGGGAGACTCATCAATCTGTTCACAGTATACGAAGCGTCAGTGAGGACGGTTGGATGAGAATGACATGATGACATGAGATGTAGATCAACGGTACAAAATGGTTCTGTCGTCAATAAGTTCGTGCTGAGCGTGACGGTAGCATGTTTCGCGCGCTGAGGACGCCGCTGACAGAAAATGTGAGGTTGGCGATTTAAAAATAGAGTTGAATCTCTGACCCAAAAAAACCAAAAGCAAGCAAGAGAAAAGTTAAAAGACAAAAAAAATAGAGTTGAATCAGACGTGGACCAGACCTCTGTGTCTCCCGTGGCGCGGTCCGCGTGTGGACTCACTACTCAGGACTTGGAGTGTGACTAGCGTGAATGGGCTTTGTGGAATGAAATTTGAGGGTGGTGGTGGTCCAATCCAAGCAATAAAGCAAAGCAATGAAATTTGAGGCTAGCCTTACCCAAATTCGGTGTACATAAAAAAGGACCATAGAGTAAAAGAAGACAGCATCTCCATCAAGATAGGCCATTTATTGATAAGCAAGCAAGAGAAGGGGAATTGAACTTAAGACCTCGGGTGCATTATAAATACTCCTAATATTAATCACTTAAGCTACAAGTTCCTTGCGAAAAGGCAATTGATTGTTCACAATTCACAAACATTTGCAAAGGCATTTCCTCTGTATAGTCAGTCGTGAAAACTTGTAGAGTGGAAGTGGTTTCTTGAAAAAAATTTCCGTTCGTTTGTACTCAAACATAGTTTCTTGGTTTTGTTATATTGAATTTCATTTGTTTTAACATAAAAAATACATCACAGGGACAAGGGTGGTGGTCCCTCCCTGTCCCTTCCATCAAAATGGGACGGTTTTTGCCATGAACAGTACGAATGCGACCCTGACAATGAAAAGAAATTCCGCACGCATAGTTGTGACCTAATTATATCACTCCTGCAAGCAAACGAGTAAACAGAAACTGCTATTGAAGAGAAGATAGTAATTATTTTCTTTTTCTTTTCCTTTATTTTGTTGGGCCACAAAGAAGGAGATGAATTTCAAGAGCTGAAGTTACTGAAGATAACATGCCAGTTATTGGCTGATTCAATACAACATATTCACTACAACAACAGATGATATATTAAACCTCTCCGGACATTCGCTGACAAACTTTGATCTGCAGTTCACCATCTCTAGCTCTAGGCCTAGGCTCTACAAATGGGAATGAGAAGCAATTGCATTTACAACTTACAAGCTACTTGAGGTACTGCAAACCACACCGTTATATTAGCGCCTCCATCTCTCTAAGCTGCAATTTTGAACTGCTTCAGCCTTGAGTCACATCATCTCGTGAAATCCTGCTGAATCCAAAAGTACTGCTTTAATTTGCTCAGGCAAGAATTGACTTTCCCTGCATTGCTGATTAACATACAAGATAATTAAATTTGCATTGAGCCAAAAAAGTTTATTACTACCATCTACTTTGCTTGAGTAGAAAAAAGGAGAAGCAGGGGAGCTGTTTAAAGACGACAAACATTTAAACAGTAAGCATACCAAAATTGCATTTCATGGCATTTACACAAGATGTCTCATACACTACCAAAAACAAATTTTATACCAATCAAACTTGGTCGCCAACCATGAGTAATATTTTCAGGATTGAAGTCCTTATGTGATAGTCTTTAATCCAAACAAAACAGACTGAAAAGCACAGATCTTCTTCAGCATACATTTTCCTGTTTTCTGTTTCAAATTTTCATTATATGAAAACATTCTGTATTCTAAATCAATTCAATGATGCAAAACAAAGCACACACCACCATGTTCCCTGTACCCAACAACTTACTATCGCAGTATCACTTATCTTGATGGTGATAAAAATCTCTCAAGAAAATTCATTCTTTCCATTTATCATCTAATGAGCTCCTAAAAGATGGCTTCATACCAAAATGTAACAGTGCACTGGTGCATTCATATTGCCATGGAAGAATTAGGTTAGATTTCATTCCAAGGCATCCAAATGACCCCATCCAGTTTCATGATAACAGGGATAGTCCAAAGTAGGAAGCCTTTCTTGCAACTAGGAAATGAACGGATTAGATCTTCACTGGTCATGACAATCTAAATCAAAATATTAAAAAATGAAGTGGTTTACATGTATTAATGTGTGTGAGAGACAGAGAGCAAAAGCTGTAAAAGTTTAGACACTATGACCCTAAAGTACTCCGTATGACATTAGTAATGGGACTATTATTTGGCAATGGGGAATACGGAACAGAATCTCAATGTCAGGACTTGTCCACATCTTAGTTAATCTTTCCTCCATTTACAAGGTTGTGCTTACTTATCCTTGCTCATGCAAGGGGAAAACAAGCCGCCGCTTTTGTGTGTATTATTTTTAGAAAATCAAAGTTCACAAGCAACAAACATGTCAAACACATCTTTTACATATCCTGTATTAAAGTAGAAGATTTTTTGCAAAGACTCAGGATACTACAATACATCAAATATGGATGTCAAATCATAAAGCGCCAAGCATGAAAGGCAGCAGAACATACATAAATATGTTAATGTATATGTTATTAGATGTTAAGACAATTACTCTTATGCATTTGCTAACAGATAAAGAAGCATACCTCAGCACGGAACACATCCAAAGCAAACCCATTGAAGCAGCTGATCACTGCCTGCTGGATGTCCAAACCAAGGTTGTCCAAGGCCCTCATAGCAGAGAGCAAGAGCCCTGGTCTACGGGCACAAAACATGTGGATATTAACAGTTCTTCCTTCCCTTACCCGAACCTCCACCTGCAAGATACAGTGGCCCAAAAGTTATAACTTAAAGCAAACTTCTTAATCATACATTACATACCCTTTACAGAAAATGTATTAGTTTTGCACGCGGTTGTGGGTCTAGACACCAAGCAAAGAAGAAACCTACATTGCATTATACTTTGACAATTGAAGTGTATTTAGGAGTTCAGAATCACACTGCAAATGTACATGCGTCAAACTATTAAATCAGGTGAACAAAATTTACCTTTGCAGGTTGACCTTTGGGGCTTGGAAAGGAGCTTGGGCAGAGCTCTTCTTTGACACGGCAGGGAAGGGTGGGTGGAATGGGCGTCAATGGTTGAAAGCTTGATGAAGGTGGCAACAAGGAGCCAGGTGGGGCAGACTCCAGCTCGTTATGGAGGTCATTAATCCTTTGTAGAAGCTCTTTCAAATAATCAATTGCATCCCCTAATATGGACGCCCTATCCATCTGCATACATGACAGAATAATCAGCAGGTATTATGACTGACAATAGAGAAGCCATAAATCACAAAAAGGAACTTGAAGCCCACAAACAATGGCCGCAACTAAGGCACTCTGGAATTGTCGTTGTTACAGGGGCAATAAAATATCCAGAGCCACTGAATCTGCCATATATATGTACCAAAATCTAACTTTCTAACTTTCTTCAAGACCGTGTTGACGAATAGTTCATTCCTTCGATCTTATGTAAACCTCTAACATGTTGTTCACCATCAAGATTTCTTGCAGTTTTCAGGCAAAGAGAGGTAAAAAGAAAAAGAAATCTGCTAAAAGAGAGCACATCTCATAGTTCTTCCACTTCAAAAGAAATTTGCACAATATCACATCCAATATTTCCGAACCATCTAAAGAACAATTAAGCTTATCCTCAAAGCCTTTTAAACGGCCACTTCAATTAAAAACGATAGAACAAGGAACTCACGTGAACCAGGTGCATGAATCTCTAGCCAAAAGTAAAATTAAAAGGATGAATAGCAGAAAAAGTAAAATTAAAAGGATGATAGCAGAAAAGAAAAAGAAAAGAAAGCACAAAGAAAGTTGTTAGAAGGAACAAGGCAAAAAAATTAAGGGACAACCAAGTTCCTACCTTGCTTATCTTGGGTACAACAGACCTAAGCATGTAGAGCCTATCATTGAGCTTCTTCCTCCGCCGCCTCTCCGCCATCAGATTTTTCGCCGGTAAACCGTTCTTCTTGCCCTTGCGGTCTCCGTCAACACCAGTGACTGTGCTGTTGGCGTTAGAATTGCTTCCAGCATTCTTCACATTCTCCTCCACTTGACTATACTCATTAAACTCATCCGAGTCATAATTCAAACCAGACACATCCATACTCCCTTCCTCCATTTCACCCTCCACGTTCTTCTTCCTCTTCCTCTCCAAACTTTCTAAAACTCCTCCATATCTGGGCCCCGAAATCTCCAAATTCCCCAATTTATCGGTCCCGTCACCGCCGGAGTTTTGACGAAGCGCTGCTCGCTTCTGAAAGAGAGTGGGATGAGCACCCACGGGAGGGAATACGTGAAGGGGTCGCAGTGGCTTAGCCCTGTTGAGTAGCTGAGCACCCCCAGAGCCATCGAAGCCTTGGAAGCCCGTAAGGCTAAAGTCGCCATCGAGCTCAGTGTCGTTGTTGGGCGCTGGCAGCAACCGAGTCGTTGGGAACTCGGCGCTCGAACTCAGTTCGGGAGTACCCATCTGAGACTGAGAATTGAGGGCCGTGAAACCCATTAAAGCAGAGGAATTGGAAGGTTGGTTTCCCTGGAAGGAGCTGAGAAAGCCACTGTCGCAGCCCAAATCGAAGCCATTGTCAAAAGGGTTGGTGGAGACGACGTTGAGGAGAGAAGAGAAGCAGGATTTGGGGGGGAACAAGTGTTGTGGCGGTGAAGGGTCGAGAGAGAAGGCCTGAGAGGGAGAACAGGAAGCGGAGGAGTCCATTGGTTGCAGCATAAGTGTGTTTTCAGAGAAGCAGGCAATGTCTCTGATATCTGGCTGGCGGTGGTTAGGGAGGGAATGGAGGTCTTGGTGATGAGTTGGGTTGAGAACATTGTTCATGTACCAGTCACCTTCCAGCATCGATTTGAAGTTGTAAAAAGAAGCACCCAAGCTCGACTGTTGCTCGTTTTTGGGCTCTCCCTCGTTATTATTGTTGTTGTTGTTGTTGTTGTTGCTGCTGCTTCTGGTCCAAGACGCCGCGTCATCTTCGTCTCCGCCCATCCAAACGGCGCTGCTGGACATTGGTAGCATGACTGTCTTTGTTTTCAGCTTTCCTTTCTCTATTTTTCTAAAATAATGTATTGTAAGTTGCCCCAAAGATACAAAGAGGGAGGGGCTCAGTTACAGAGGTTTAATAGAAAACTGAGAAAAGGGTAGGAACTTTTGCTCAGACTGAGACTGAGAGCATCATTTTTAAGAATAAACGAAGGCAAACAGATTCCCAATGTTTTTATTTGTTTCTTGTCTTTTTTGGCTGGGAAATCTTCAAGTTTGAACGTTATGTTTTGTACTAGACTAGCGACTCTCAGGCAGGCCGCAGGAGGTGAAAATGAATATAGACCGCTGTGTGCTTATCTATTATGCGCTCGCTGCTCACTGTCACTTCTTGCTGCTTGCTGCTTGCTGCTTTGTTGGCTTGGATTTTGTTTGGAATATATTTAAGGGACAATTTTTTTTTTACTTGTACAAAATATTTATTTATTTTGATGCGTGACAAAACACACAAAATTTACTCATGACACTTAAAAATAGGTTGGTTATTATAAGCTTGACCTTTTTTTCTTTATGCAAAAAGTAGCTCACATTTGTATAGGTGAATGGAGGTTTAAGTAGATAAAAAATACATAAGTAAATACACGAAATACATATGATTTTTTTTATAAGAAGTAGCACTGTTCAAAAGAAGACAAAAGGTAGAACTGTAAATGTTTTTTTAATACAAGCGATAGTCTATATTAAAAGAGATGGAAATTTCTAACACACATATAATTAAAATACTATGAGGGTTCAAACATAAGATATTTGATATGCAAATCTAAGCCATCTTCGACTAATTTAGACTCCATTAACAGAACCGTAATTTAATATACATGAATCATAAAACTTTTTCACAAGTAGAGCACTTTGAGACTCTCAGTAATGCGGTTAACTTAGGTTACCAGAGCCCTCAAGAAAAGCCCAACCCAAAGCGACATCTGTTCATCTTCTAATATAATATATATCACAAGAGAAGTGTTGGTAAAGAATTCATTTGGTGGTTAAAATACATGCTTCATTATTAGATTTAAAACAAGTTCCAACAATTTTCCTAAACCCTATTTGTAAATTGTATATATACATTATAGACTATAGTTTGGAATTGAATACATGGCGTGGCAGTCAAAAGTGCAGTACTTGAAATTTGAAGAATCAACAACAATTGTTTGTTTGTTCTATGCCTTTTTTTGGGCTTTTGTGAAAAGGAAAGTAAAGAGAAAGATGGCGCTTCTGTTCATTTTAATTATTTGACTAATCCAAGAATTGATCCTCGCCGTCCTGGCTGCTAGGCTAGGCTGCTTCTCGATATCATACACCGTATGTGTGTCACAGTGTTCGGGGAAAGATGTGAATATAAATAGGTTTACGTGGTCATAACCGCGGCAGGTGGCAGCCTGGCACAAATGTGAAATGTGTAGAAGAATTGGTGTGGCTTTTGCGCCATGCAAATTGCAATTCAAAGTTGAAAAACATAAAAGCAAAAGACCAGTTTTAATTGGAATAAATTTTCCAAAAGAAACCCCAAGTTTCTCGTGATTGCTCTCTCTCGATTCACCACCGCACCTATATCATATCAATCTACACTTTGAAACTTGTGTATATCGATCCAAGCCATGCCCATGGGCCATGCATCATGCATGCACATATTGATATTATTATTAGGAAAGTGTTCTCTTGATTGCGTGGCTGACCGGAATTTAGAACAAGAGTCGTCTCTTGATTGATTCTTTGACTCTCATCTTCTTCTTATTACCATGGAATGGAAGAGTGACTCGAGCCCTCCGTCACGAGAACGACAACGACCACAATAAAATCTACGATTCCTCTCACTTCACGTGATCAACAGACTAGTCTTTTAGTTTTTTAGTCTAGTCTAATCTTGTGTGGATAACTTGCCTACATACGTGGCACACATGCATGCAACTCACCAATCATTCTGTTTCAGATTCAGATCCATCCCAAATTCTCACGATTTCATTTTAATTTTAATTTTTTCTTGCCAAAAAAAAACAGTGAAATAAAAAATAAAAAGGTATCTGTCTGTCAAGTAAATTTGAACTTGGCGGTTTGCCCGACATGCATGTGGAGTGGAGGAGACTGAAAAGACCCTCTGGATCCAAACGGTTTACGTACGTACAAATTACAATGTGCTTGTCAAGTAAATTAATTTGCGAGTTTAATTTGAACATTTCAATTTCAATTTGATCCACACCACCACTCCACGGAAGCCAAAGGCGGTGCTTCATTTTCATTTTTGAAACAATACTAGAAACTAAGGAAAGGAAGCTGAGCTGCCAGTGCCGGGCGGGTCCATCAAACATGACAGCTAGAACACTAAACCCTACAAACTGTGAGCTGGGACCACTCCACTGGTGTTATTATTTGGATATATATATATATATATATATATAGAGGAGGTCATTCTTCTGGAGGGTTTAAAGCTTGATGGCGTTCCAGCAGGAATATACTCTGTTCATTGCTTGCCCTTAAGGTTGATTGGTGCTGATGGATCACCTACAAGATGCATTCTCATCAAAGCCCTCTTCCTAAACGACGAGGAGTCTATAGGCACGCACACACTGTCACTGTGTCACGCACAACTTAACTTAAATATCGGTGAAAGAAAGGTGACAATATACCTTATCACTTGTTACATAAAGCAATCACACAAATTGATCCGGAGGAGGGAAGCTAAGAGTTTTGAAGCAGGTAAAGCCTCCATCCACCACTAGGTTATGACCCGTCACATACTTTGCTTCATCCGACGCCAGATACACCGCTGCTTGCGCCACATCTTTTTCCTCACACTTTGCACCCTTCAGCTCCCCAACCCCATTCACAATCTCTATCACCTGCTCCCGCGTCGCACCCGGATAAAACTGCCCTATCTCCCGCACCGACATCTCCGTCGGAATCGGACCCGGCGATATGCAGTTCACTCGCACCCCACTTCGGCACAGCTCGCTCGCCACCGACTTCACCAGCCCCGGTATTGTAAATTTCGATATCGAGTAGGGGTGGGGCCCCAGCCCACCAAGGACCCCACTTATGCTTGATGTGCACAGTATGGACCCTGCGCCTGCAGGTACCATCACTCGAGCCGCATGCTTCATCCCTGCCACTGCACCACGCACGTTGACCCGCATCACGTGGTCAAACTCCTCGAGGTCGAGGTCAGCGATGCTGGGCGGGAACGCTGGTCCTGTTATGCCCGCGTTGTTGTACATTATGTCAAGTTTCCCGTGCCGGGCCACGGCGGTTTCTACAGCTTCTGCTATTTGGGACTCCACTGAGACGTCGCATTGGACAAAGTGAGCTGCTGGGCCCAGCTCTTTAGCGACTTGTTGACCCAGCTCAGAATCTGTGTCTGCAATGATCACGTGCGCACCTTGTTGGATGAACTCGTGGGCCGTGGCCTTCCCAAGCCCACTTGCCGACCCTGTTATTAGGGCTACCTTGCCTTCTAGCCTGCTTCTTTTAATGAAACGAACACATGTTTTTTAATTTATAAATACAAGTGATATTTTAAAGTATCTCAAAGTAATCTAATTTATAAAGATAGAGAAATTCAAACTTAAGTACAAGAGTACGGACTAAATGACCTACAAAAATGCATGTTAATGATGGAATTACAAGAAAATTAGATGCGTAAAACGCAATGAAAAGACAAAATTAGTCACGTCCTTTGAAAAAAGAGGTATATTGCAGATGGGAAAAAGGTGATGCCAATTGAAATGATGATGTGCCGTGGATCAAAATTCCTCAAAAAATCACCGAAAAACAAGACCGCCAGCATTGAAGATATATAAAGTGAATGTGAAAGGCTAACCTAATCATTAATATTCTGCAGTGAAATCGAAATGAAGCAATTTTATGAAAACGTTTAAGAAATCTTGCATAGCATCCGTTACTTACTGACTTCAAATATTTGAATTTGATGACCAATAATAATTAAAGTTGAAAAAACAAGTCATATGCGTTGTTTTGTTAGATTAGATCTACCATGGCCTTGACAAACATTGCATGTGCTGCACTCACTGTTAAACCTTAAACATCGTTGTCTTGTCAACACCATCACCCTGTTAATTGATTAAATTATGTATAATTTGAGTCATTGACCTTAAAACTATCACATTGAATTCGAGACAGATAGCATATAATATGCCAAAATTAATTGCTACGGAATAAGATTTAATTGCGGGATAACTCCACGTTATGTATAAGTTATAACAACGGAATAAAATTTAATTGTGAGATAAATTGCGGGATAACTTCATGTTATGTAAAATTTAATTTATCTAAGGAGGTGATTTAAAGAGTCCATTATGAATACTCTTAATTTATCACTTTGGGGAAATTACTTGAAAAATGAACTTCTTTTCTTTTTGGCTAATTTGAATGTCAAACAGCTGTACCAACACTATGCAGTGCAGTAGACAATATGAATATGGCGCAAAATATGCCTAAATGAACACCAAAAACAGACAGTATGAAATGAAATGAACGGCGCAAATACTGAGTGACAATTGACACAGTGGAAGGGGAGGTATGAAACTTATTATTATTAGAATTTAGAGATATTAGCTAGGAGAAACAAAAATGAATAACAACTTTGAATCTGCAGCTAGCCAGGACAACATCGCATCCGTATTCAGGTATAATAAACCAAATCTGAAGCTATATATATATGTATGATGAGATGAGTCGGATAAATAAAATACCTTCCATGGCCACCACCAGCTCTTGTTGAAAAAAGTCTCGTTCGCTTCAAGAGAAAATCATTGCAGCTGTTCAGCTTAAACTCTCTGCGGGAAAAGAAATCCACCCGAAAATCCCTCAGTTCAGTTTCCGTAAATTGTCAGCCCATAATTTTCCAGGTTTTGGCATAAATCATATATGTATATATGAACTTGATTCTATATATGATTATGATCAGACAACAAAGTTTAACATACAGAACAGATATGTAATATAATCAAGAATGAAGAAATAGTAAGAGCCCAAGGCTAAGGTGTAAACTGACCTAGCTAGAGATCTGAGCATATTAACGGCGAAGATCTGAACTCTGATATCTTCAAGAGAAAGATGTATGTACTTTATGATCTCAATTCTCAAACTCAGTGGCAGCAGCACTACTCAAACTACCAAAAAGGTCCAGAATTTTATTGGAGGGGAAGAAAACGTTAATTGCACACGCATTTTCATGCACACAGAGAGAGAGAGAGGGAGAGAAAGGTAGAGCCAAGTTGAATGAAGATGGTTTATAACATCTGTGACCTGTCATATATATTTATTGATCCTTAATTATGAAAACAGGA